TACGTGTTGAAAATATTTATATACTAAACTTGGAAATTTAACTTTGTTATGCCCTTGCACTAGTGATATTTATATGTAACATCAATACTTCAAGTCAATGTACTAAAATTTTCACGTGACTAGTCAAAATATAAAACATAATCGGGATATTAGCTTTTAATCATAATTCAATATTTGTACTAAAAATAATCGCCATCCCGATTACGAATACATTTTTAAATGCAAAATTTAGTCGATATTTCCGTTGCGCACCTTAACTGTACTGCGTTGACAATCTACTATTTGGAATTCAACTCTTGGCAATACATGTACATTGTATTTTAGGCATAAAATTGTTCAAATCATACGATTGTCACTACTGTAAACAATGCCATGTGCCCCAGTAATCTCGTGAGATTTAAGCTTTCTCGACTCCACTGCAAAAGAGCGGTAGTAAGTTAGATAACTGCGAGGTAATCGCGATATTACGTATTCAAAATATATTTATTTTAGAAATATTATGATTACACAGGACCCATATTCACTTTTACTATTTAGGACTTTCAATTATTCTAATATACACTTAACACAAAAACCTCTAAGATTTTTTGTTGTACAAATATCAGTACTAGCATATGGATTTGAAAATGTTCATGTATTTTTCTCATTTTAGACCGTAATATGTAATAAAAGGTAGGGTGTAAAATATTACAATATTCTATTCTTTAAACATGTATTACCATATCCGATATGTACAGATAAATAATTTTAATGAAATCATGGGAAGGGTTTATATTCTGAGGAAACGAATCATTTAAACTAAGAGTAATTTGAGGGAATGGATTGATAATCTGCGAGAATGAATTGGCAATTTGTTATGAAAGATTGTCAATCCGAGAGAACGGATTGTATAAATCGAGAACTCGGTTTACTTTTATAAATTTTTAAAAATTCTATGTCCCTTCATGGCTTTCATAGATTGCATACCTGCATGGCTGCCAGGGTTGTAAAAAGAATGGAAACAATAGACTGCAATGTTACTTCAGGGCAAAATTCCTGGGGCAAGGCTGTTCATGAGCATGGGAGTGTTGATAAACCATCCAGTGAGTTTGACCACCCATGTATGTGATGTACGATAATGGGAAAGTGTCTGAAAAATTGAGAAAATGGAAATTTTAACCACATACTTTATGCAGATTGGAAATACAACAGCAGTCTATAACAGCTTGTTCCATATCTCGGCATTCATTCAAATAGATATTACGTGTTTAAATAATGTGTTTGTTATGAATAATCAAGCATCATAAGTATTATGTTAAACGCTTATTCTTTGAAATAATTAAATCAAATGTTTATAAAATTGTATGAATGCAATATCATGAGAATGACACCAAATGAAATTTGACTTTATTTTTGAAATTTTAGAAATCCAGAAATTTTCAATACCAAAACAAAAATTTACCTGTTAATTGGTGTCCTTACATATCAATTAGCCTTCGTAGTTCATGGTGGGCTTAGCAAGTGGGTATTCACAGATGAAAGTATTGTTGCATATGGTGCCAGCACCCTAAAAATTCAATGTGAAAGTGGTACATGTACACACTGGTACACACATATTGAAAACAACTATCCATTATAATTATGGCAACTTTGATTTTACTTTGAACTTTCGAGTGATTGTCAATAGCATCAACGTTTAAAAGCAACACAAAACTGGCTGAACAATACGAAATATGCACACTGAAATATGAAGATCTATTTATAGTACGTGTACATTTAGTTTTCTTTTGAACGTGAATTAATTGCGTTTAAAACTTAAACTATTCAGTCAAAATACACGTATTCTCACCTGCTAATACCAAAAGCATGTCCGTATTATTTGATTCATTGATGTGATGATCTTCGTCGTGAAATAATCATGAAAATTGACGTTCTTCAGATCGCCATCGTGTTGTTGTTTATACTGCTACCCAATAGGCGGAAACACGTGTATTTCAATTCGTATCAACTCATACATTGATGAGTCGTATTTATTTATAATGCGAGTTTTTGTAATTTGTTAAATTTCATGCCAATATAGACCTAATTAAATTGCAAATTAAGTATACGGTATATTAACAAGATACAACAATATTAAAAATCTGATTTTTTTTTTTTTAGTAAAGATCGGCGTTTCAATCGGAGTTCCTCGGATGACTCGTACCTCGCACATAACCTCGGACGTCAACGGTGATCTTCCATCTTGCTGATTCAGTCATGTGATCTAATTTGAATTTCATTCAAATATTATACTTTTGAAATCCGAGTTACTTTGATGCACGCCCAACACTGTGTTCTTGCTTTCAAAGAATACTAACATTTGATTGTAATTAACACGAGGAATTACACAAATAAAGAAACCTTTTCTAAGAACTTTAGGCAGAGCGAAATATGAAATGAGTGACAAGGCAGTTTCCGGCGAAGAAATGTAGCGATCTGATGCGTATTCCTCCACCTATCACATCCGAGGTTTGAATGGAGCGTAGCGGAGTCAGCCGAGGATTGCCGATTGTCGGCGTTTAGGGAATCGATCTACAATTTTTATCAACATTGTATGTTATATCACAACATGAAATATGTACATCATTACATGTAGATGAATAAATTAACATTTCACTTCACACAAAAGACAGAACGATAGTATATATTTGTTTTTTGAAATCTATTTTTTTTTTTGTATTATGCATTTATTTCAGTAAAAATATATTTAAATGGTCAAAAAAGTCTTATAAAAGAATTTGTTGTTTCGAGTAAGACGCAACAATATCGACCTTGACGTTACATGTAAATATTGACCGATTTTTCCATAAAAACTATGCGAAGGTCACAAATTCAAATTATCGTAATTAAGAAAATACTGAGCGTAAGAAGGCCTGTAAGGACTTGTTGGAAAGGAAATTTTCTGTACTTTTAACAGCTTTATTTTGTTTTCCCTATTTCAACACAGAAATGAACATAAAACTGAGCTTTGTTTAAACATTACGAATAAAATCGAGAAAAAACACATAAGTGCAAGAAAATTCTTGTTTTTAAAATATGCTTTATAGTAATAACAATAATTTTTACATATTTTAAAAGCAGAGAAAAAATGCTTTAAGAATATATCATACTTTCTTTATAAAGTTAATCTGGAAAAGAATGCCAATCGTCTGGAAAATCGGCAATTGCTTTGGAAAATTACGCCATTTTCATAAAGTCACGTTTGTCTTCACAACGTAAAATCGATTAAATACCGGCAATCAAGACATAATCTTTTTAGATATTTTAAAAGTAGAGAAAATTTCCAAAAAGATGATATATAGTTTATATACCTTCATGCTACCATAAAATAGATACGGAGATCTTATTTTCGCGAAGTCGTGATTTAACGCGCCACCGGTCAATTTGACCGGTACGGAAGTGAAGGGGTTAAACAATACAAAATAGGAGAACAGCAAACAAGGGCCTCCAAAACATTAGAGGTGAGATCAGATGCCATGGAGGGGTGAGCATCCCCTGCCGTGTACTCCTTGTCATGATCGGGAAAAACACAAATATCCGTCGACATTTCTTGAATAATGGCATAAGAATTAGCATTAAAAATGTCAGTCAGCATTTGACTCAATAATGAATTGTATTTTCTGACAAGGTCATTGTATCGACCATAGAACTTACGAAATGATGATTTTAAACGAGACTATTGATATTCTTATTTCATCAACTTGTTTGTCAATAATTTACCTCTTTTTCAGAAATTGTACATATGTAGAGAATGCTCTTACGAATCAAATCAACTGAGACATATAAACACCGTATACAGATGCATGATGAAGGTATGTTGCTACATAAGTAAAGGAAATTGACGATTGAAAAGTTATCATGTTTATCATACAGCTTGGTTGTTAGATTAACTTTAACGTCTTTTTTTCAAGAAAAATATATAAATATGAAACAGAAGTATCAGTATTTGTGGTATCTCTTTTCTCAAGCTCACCGGGATAAATCGTATCGACATAAGATTGGAAATAACTATTGTTATTTGACAATCCGTCGGAGATATGTCTAAATGTCGAGTTGAAGGCCAAGGCAGGTGTTTTTGTTCTTTTCACGTACATGATTTTGGACAAATTCGTCTTCATATGAATACAAACACAAGTCTGCTAAAAAACGGGGCTCAATGGGTAGCCAAGGGAAATCTGACAGATTGTTGGAAGACCTGGTCTCCAAAAACCACATAGATAATGTCAATCAGAAACTCAAGCATCTTTTGAATGTCAACTTTAAAGCACTTGTGTGTACAATCAGAATGTTTTTTAGCAAAATAATTTTGCAAATGACCAATGACAAAGAAAGTGCATCTACAGCTACGAAAATGCAGCTGTCAATCATGTCAAAATGCCTGGACTTTAATTCATCTTGGGGAATAGTTGTGTATAAAGCTGAAAAGTCCCAAGTTTTTAAGCTGTTGATTTTTGAAAAATCTTGTGATTTCAAATTTTCAAAAAGTTCCTTGGAATTTGATCTGATTTACACCACTTCTCGAATATATTGTTACACAGTACTCTTGAAGTTTCTCCTTCACTACTGTTAATATCTTAGGGAGTAGCAAATAAAGAGCCTTGGTTGAACATTTACTGAAATCCGCTATATATCTCTGTTTGTAAGGATTTTCATGAATTTTCGAAATCCAATATAGATATGGTAATTCAGATTCATTTTGTTTTTTTAGAATACTAAAAATATTCAAAACTGGTAAAACTGACATGATTTTGAAGAATTTCTTCCTCAGAAAGGAACTATCTGTATAAAATAAGAGTATTAGATATCATCAACAAAAGCCAAAGAGAAATTACAATTCAAAAAAGATATTCCTTGTGAAAAAAAATGACATTGACACGATAACATTTCAAAAATGGCACAAAATTAGACCACTGCTGTCTCAGATCATAGTATACAGGTACAGTTGTATCTTAAATAAGAGGTGTCAAAATGAACATAATCAATAAAAAATTGTAAACTTTTATTGTAAAAAATCTCTCAAATAACAAGCAATAAAAACTTATAAAAGTGAATAAAAAAAATGACAGCTTTGTATTTTTCAATATTATTTTCAACTTAATTCACTTTGTTTGCAAACACACACATCAATCGTCTCAGATCAACTCTAACTTCATAAAACAAAAGTAGCACCATTGACTAGATATTACAATACTTTTGACATAATCACCTTGACACAAAACAAATTAAACTTCATTCACAGAATAGTTCAACATTCTCAAAATATTTTTCTGTGAGTCACTTGAAGTGTTCACTGTGATTATTATTTATGATAATCAACATCTCCCTTATATAGCACATGCAAATACAGGTGTATGATTTGAAACATAGAGTCAATTTACCCAATAGGGACAATATTATGGGTTAAAGGACATTAAGGATGTTGGTACTATGTCCATGGAAGCTGCCATGATAAGTCTTGTTAGTGTACATAAGATTTCTATATCTGGACCGAATTAAATGTGCCGACATCTTTGGCTGTCTCTGCCGAGTTAATAACCCTTTCTTATTTCCAACCACGCGGGTTATTTCTGAAATGTAGAATAGATGTTTCAAAGTGTGATTGTGTAGGGAAAATTTAAAATAATATCACTAAGGTGTTACTGTATATACATGTATAAAGGATTTGTTGAGAATACGATTTTCATAATAGTATTTAAAAATTAGATACATGTATCTAAATAACATAACTCAAAATCGAAAAGATTAAAGATCTGTTTACTATTTTCTTATGCAATTTTAAAAAGTTCATGCACTATCCAGTAAGAAGTTACTTCTAGTAGATTATGATTCCTATTTAAAAAAAAAATGAAGTAGTTTGATTAAGTAAAAAATGATGTATGTGAAACGAATTACTACATGTATATATGTCTTCTATGTATTTTTTAGCAGTGAAAAAAGTGTGATGGTTACAACAAACTTACTTACGTTGAATAGTCATGAAATCAGCAAAATTCCAAACCATTTCCCCCACCAGGAATTCTTTTCTCAGATGGTCAAAAACTTTATGATATTCCTGAAGAAATTCTACCTGAAATTCCTCTGTAAACACGAAGGATGGATCCTAACAAGAGGAAAATAAATACCTTATAATTCCATTCTAATATTTCTATTTAAAAGGGCACTAACAACAGAGTAAGGTGAATTTTGAGGGGAAAAAATGAATTTTTTGCTTTCTTTTCAATTTTCTTACTGCATAGTTCATTTAATGATTTGATAATTAATTAGGTCACATTTCTGCAAAAGTTTATTACTATTATTATCTAATATAGCTAATTTGAAACGTTATTTATTCTTAAAATTTAATTGTAATACTAACCTGATGATATCCCGGAATGGTATCAGCTCCGTATTCTGTAACGATGATTGGTTTATTGTATTTATTATGGAAAGCTTTAAGGTCATTTGTCAATTGTAGATTAATCAGCTCAGTGTGGGAACAATCAGAATACCAGGCATAGTAACGGTTTATACACAGGATATCATTGTACTGGGCCTAAAAAACAAACAAACACAAGGCATCATAACGGTTTATACACAGGAAATCATTATAATGGGCTTAAAACAAACAAAGACAAGGCACTGTTGTGGTTTATACACAGGATATCATTGTACTGGGTCTAAAACAAAAAAACATAATACATCATAATGATTTAAACACAGGATATCATTGTACTGGGCCTACAATAAACAAACACAAGACAATGTAATGTCAGAATATCATAACATATATACTGGGCCTACAACAAACAAAGATGTAATGGTTTATATACAGGATATCATTGAACTGGGCCTAAACAAACTAACACAACAAAAGGCACTCTACATATTGGTTTATACACAGGATATCATTAAACGGGTTTAAAACAAACAAGCACAAGGCAATGTACATAATATTTTAAATACAGGATATCATTGTAATGAGCCAAAACAAACAAAAATAAGGCACTGTAGGGGTTTATACACAGTGTATCGTTGTACTGGGCCTAAAACAAACAAAATAAAGGCATAGTAACGAATAATACACAGGATATCATTGTACTGTACCTAAAACAACCAAACACTAAGCTAAGTTATGGTTTGTACTTGTAATTACATTGTACTGACCCTGCAAAAAACAAATGCAAGGCATGGTAGTGGTATATACAAGTGATATCATTTTACTGGGCCTGTATCAACCAATGGTTTAAGTTATGCACAAGGCACTGTACATAATGGTTTTTAAACAAGATATCATTGTGCTGGGCCAAACACAAACAAACACAAGGCACTGGAATGATTTTTTTACCCCACCTTTGCTGATTTTTCTGAGAAATCCTTGCTTACGATTAGTCAAAGTTTGTCATGTGAAGAGAGGGTTGCAATGCAAACTCTAGCAACAATGCCTGTGTGAAGAGTTCTTCTTTTTATGGAGGTTTGATCAATTAGATAACATATAGCATGCCACCCAGTATTTCACTCCTTGGTAGTCTAGTAATATCTTCAGGTAATATAACATTTTTCTTCTTTGAGTTGAAGAGCAATACTTACAGCTTTTTCTTCACCATAATCAGCATTAGCAACAAAAGTGACAAGTCTGGTTGGGTCTGCTTTCTTTACATGCAATAAAATCGTCCTGCCATAGAAAAAAAAAACAAAATACAGATCTTCATCAAAATCACGAAAGGATTTGGTGCTTTTTTTTAAATGTAAGACCTTTGCATTCATAATAACAGAGAACAAGATAACTTTGTTTAAATGGCTTCCAAAAAAACTTAAAGCGAGGTAGATGAGCATATCAGACTGACTTGAAATAGAACTTGGCCTCTGGGAGTCCAGACTTGGGTTCGTTGGCTACAGACCAGATGATAACGGCTGGACGGTTCTTGTCTCTCTGAATCATTTCATCCATGACTTGCAGGTGGTGTGCCAAAGACGCATTACCAAAGTTACCTTTCCTTTAAATATAACGATAGACAAGTATACAATATAGAAAATGAAAACTGTCTCAAACTAGGCAGCCAATCACAGAGAAGATAAATATACATGTGTCTGGACCTACTCTATCCCTACACCTGGACTTTCATCAATGACCACAATGCCTTGTTGGTCAGCTTGGTCCATAATCTCCTCGGCATAGGGGTAATGGGATGTCCTAAAACAGTTAGCACCCAGCCACTTCAGTAGATTGAAGTCCTTGGCAATCAAAGGATAATCTAGTCCCTTACCTCTGATCTAAATTTACAATTAGGAGAAAGCATCTCAAATTAGTTTTATCTGCTTGCTAAATATAAATGAAAGATGTGTGTGTTTTTTTTAACTGAACAATGTATGACTGATATGGTAGAATCAAAATAAAAAAAGAAAATTTGCAAAAGACTTCAGACTTAGGATGCTTGCTAAATGTTTGCTAAGGAGGTTAAAGGAGCAATTATTGTTACATCAGAGTCCTCATGTTTGGCAACTCCATGGCAGTAGAATGGTTTGTTGTTGATCAGAAGTTGTGTGTTGGTGTTAGACACAGTACGGATACCAAATGGGAGGCTGTACTGATCAGTATCGCCAGATGTTGAGGTCAAGGTCACCTTTAAAAAAAATAGAAGTTTTAAGACAAACATTTAAAAAATTATCCTGTCCTTGCTGATACTATTTATAGAACCAATACTGCACAGCAAAAGTCACAACGGAATATACTTGCACAGTAATTTATACAATAGAATTTTATCTAAGGAAAGCAGACAAATAATTGTGAAAACCTTGAATGTATAGAGGTAGGCAGTGTCATTTGACGAGTTCAGCATGGAGTAGGGCCACCAAAGGTTGGCATTGTTTACAGTTATCTTCCCTTGTGGCTGACTTCCCTGCCCAGCAGAGTTACCCTCCTTGTCGAGGATGGTAATTTGGAATGATTGAACCATGGAGGCCATACTAGGTGTCACTGTATAACTTACCAAACCTAAAATTAAACATACCTGTATACAATATAAATTGTCTGATTAAAATGTTGTGAATAATATATCTTGCTCATGACAATAAAATCTTTTAGTGCATTTCAGTGCATTCAATTGTTGATTGTGTTATTTTGTCATGAATACTGTCTGATTCTGGAAAAATTAATTGAACAATTTGAGCCTAAATACACATATAAAACAAGATTTACTGTATACTTATGAAATAATTGCTGTGTTTGAGGAATTTAAAAGATTAAACAATACAAGATTCCCATGGGCCACAATGCTCACCTGAGTAACTTTGTCCCTCCTGTTCTTAACCAGACTTTTCCCCCTGTGGCCAACCATACACCTTGGGCCAACAATTTAGAATTTATACTTCCCCAGAATGTTCCTACAAAAGTTCATCTTTTCTGTTCATCTTTTCTAGCTCAGTGGTTCTTGAGAAGATTTTTAAAGAGTTTTCCTTAATATCAATGTAAAACTTTGATTCCCTGTTGTGGCCCCTACCAATCCCCAGTTGGCCATGATTTCAACAATTTTAAATACACCATACCCCAGGATGCTTCCAAATAGGTTTCATCTTTTCCGGCTCAGTGGTAATTTTTTTGGATGAAGATTTTTGAAAAAAAAACTTCCTTGATTATTCAATGTTAATCTTTGATTTGCTCTTGTGGCCCCATCCTAGCCCTGGGGACCCTAATCTGAACAACTGAGATTCCACAAAACCCAGGATGTGTCCACATAAGTTTCTCTTTTCTGGTCCAGTGGATTTTGAGAAAAAGATTTTTTAAAGACCCAACCCTATTTTGGCATTTTCTTGATTATCTTCCTTTGGAAAGGGCTTGGCCCTCTATTTTAAGAATTTACAATCTCCTTTACCCTGGGATGCTTTGTACCAGTATTGGTTAAAATTGGCCCAGTGATTCTTGAGAAGTTGAAAATCTGGAAATTTATGTTTACAGATGGATAGACAGACAGATGCCAGAAATTAGGTGATCAGAAAATCTCACTTGAGCTTTCAGCTCAGGAGAGCTAAAAGACAGAGTTCCTTAGGGCATAGTTATAAATTTCCAACAAAATCTCAAGATTGATGGGTATATTTTACAACAATTCTTATGATTATGGATTTTTTTTTTTTCTGCTACTCTGAATACCAGTATGTAAACTTTTGTATAAAAAATGCAGAAGCTAGTTTTAGATGTGATCAGAAGTGTCTTATAATGTCACAACTGATTTGTATTTTAAGCATAAGAAAAAGGGTGATGTAATCCAAACCCAAAATAAATTTATTCCCATGAATTTACATCATAATCAAAAGACATCTCTCTCTATTTTTCTACTGAACAAAATTAGAAGAAATCTGAATTAGCTTATTTGTTAATGAACTTTAAAATAAGCTTCAGAATATGTATCTCTTTGGTCTTTTGAGTAACCGTAGAGAAATTGTATTTATATGACAATCACTGAGGGTTTTGTAAATATTCTAGCTAACCATTACCTCAGGCAAAGCGAGATATTGGGTAACAAGTGCCAGATATTGTGTATTGTAAATTCTTATTATTGATTTCTTTGTTGAGAGTAAATACACAAACATACAATTAAACAAAAGAAATGTATGATTTTTGCTACATTAGATATAAAACTTCCAAGTAGCAAATCTTGACTGATACTCCTCTAAATAAAAAAGATTATCATGTAAAACAACTGCAGTAAAATATTTTTCTTATAAAAGCTACATCATATATAGTGTACATTTTGACAACAGTTGCTTCAAATTTAAATTAAAGAGAATAAAATGTTAATCTGAAATTTGAAGTTTGAAGTTAAACTTAAAATCACACAATAACACATTTTGCACTTTACCATTGCTTCCTTGTATGTCAGTTACTATGGTGATGTCCTCAATATAAACTTTAGGTGTGGTGTACACTTTTACAGTTCTATGAATCCCAGCATAGTTGAAAAAGTCCATCTGTAGATTTTGGACAAAATATCCTTTAGGATATCTGTAAGTTGATTGAATTTACTCATCAGTAAAAATTTTCTTCTGTTCAAACAAGAAGATTTTTATACAACTGAATCCTTACTTAGTAGGATTTAGTTAACAATTCACCATTGGAAGGTTTAAATAAAGTATTTTTCACTCATAAATAGGGGCAATTTACAGATAAAATGACAATTCTATCTTCAAAAGAAAATTGTAAAAGTGTCAAAAAGTAGTTCTCTTTCTGAAATAAATTCATACATAATTGAGCTGGATGTTTCCTATTATGTTTCTCTATGCTCAGTCATATTTTTAGTCATTTAAGGGTGACCTTCAAACTGATGACCTTCCTTAGTCTAAAGTTAAGGTAAGTCTTAATTTTTTCTAATCATTTAAAGAAACTATTGGAAATAGATTAAAAATCAAAATAAGCAGCACCTCAAGAGAGAGACCTAGTTTTTCCAAAAATGTTCTGCTGCAATGCAAAGTGCATGAACTCAAATGTCAATTTATTTTTATGCAATAGGAAAAATTCTCTTAAATCCAATTAATATACAAATAGTTAATTTCATTTTTACCAAGCCAAAATTCTTACTTGAGTGGATCATTTTTGTACTCTATCGTCCCTGGGGGTAGTGTTGTGGGGGTCAGTGTGTTATTTATAGCTATGGTCACTCTGTTTGGGCCATTTGTATTATAATTTTTCAATTCTGTTTCAAATGGCAGGTGCCCTCCAGAATGCTGCATGACCTCCTGTCCATTCAGCCACTGTAGTGAAAACAGAAATTTAATCAATATGTCAACTCTACATGGATTATCAACATATGAATTTAAAGTGCCATCATGCATACAATATGTAAATCTGTAGACTGAAGTACTTTTTTGTGTGGTATAAATTTACCATCTTATGTAAAACTTATATCACAAATTTTCCATATATCAAAATAAAGTAGACACTTGGTGCTTTCATGTACTTAATGAAACAGTATATGCAAGGAAAATAGTTCTTGAAAGAGAAATATGCATATTTGACTACCCATGGATTTGACAGAAATAAATATTTTGTGGAATGATACCGCAAAACTCGGTTAGTACAAACACGGATATTGCGAATTAACGGATATAGCGAAGTCATCTTGGATCCCCAGCTATATATATTTAATTAATTTCTTATACGGTTATAACGAATAACGGATATAACGAAGTAATTTCATAGGTCCCAGTGACTTCGTTATAACCGAGTTTTGCTGTATGACCCAATGGAAAAAGTACATCTACAGTATTTAAACTCCAGTACTACTAAGTACTTGGTTAAAGTTGGTTGAAATTTTACTTATTTTTATTTATTATTTCCATTTGAACTTACTACAATGGTATTATAATGTGCGCTGTCAATTCGTAATACAGTCCTCTTTGAGGCAAGTTCTGGTGGGATGTAGAATTCGTTGTCATACCAGGCCCACCCCACAAAATCTCGTAGTTCCTTACTCTGGGTAATGTCATTGTAGCTGGAAGGGACTGGCATAGGTATAACAGGGCCACTCTATAATAAACATATCCAGTTTCGTACTGTATGTTGATTCAATATTTGGTACATAGCTTACATGGTATATATATTTTTTACAAATTAAAACTTTTTACTATAATCAAATGAAATGACCTAGTTTGAGAAGGTCTTGGGTAAATTTAATTAGCCTAGCTGCTATTTTTTCTCTTTCATTCTCTTCACCTTTTGGATATCAAACACTAATTCTCAACATTTGAAGTTACTATAATACTATATGAAGTTATTGCATTTTCCTCAATGAAATTTTGAGAAAAAAATATCACTCAGAGATACATTTACATTATTTATATCTCTTCATTGTAAAAAAAAAAAGTCATTTGACCATATATGGATATATAATATTTTTAAACATATAGCCAAAACTTGTTAGCTATGGACCTGTTGGAGCGGTCTTGAGTACCATTTCTCTTCGAATCCCTGGAACCTATTCTCCGATGAATCAATTCTAAAATTCCACATACCGTCTAAATTTTGGAAAACTGTCCGTGATATCGAATTTCGGGGATACAACATACCTGACATTGCACAAAGTAATTGTAAACAAACAACATGAATGAAGAACATTCGTTTCATGGGAGCAGCCATTTTTACTGAATAATAAGTCACATGATATGCACACGTGACATAGAAAAGGACTAGGTAGAGTAACGACTGAATTTGGCCCAAAAGTTAAAGGTGCTTATAGACACATATTTGAACTTAATATTGGCTGACAAAAGTTACCACTGGTATAATATGCCAATTATATATTGCAAAAAAAATTAGCATTTTTCTGCACTAGAGCTCTGTTAGTAATGGTAACTTTTTTAATGACGTCAGACAAAATGGCGGATACTGATCGAGTCGGTCCTACTAAACCAGAGAATCTGAGAGAACTCTAGGTTTATTTGGTAAATTCAAATAAATTTTATGCCTAATTGAGTTCAATTTTACTCTATAAATCGTTTTCTATCTATAAAATCAATAAGAAGATTATTCTATGAAAGTTTTCCCTCAGAAAAAAAAGTTGAAGAAGTAACAAATCATTGTAATGTTTCTACCACACCTTTATACATAAACTCTGTGTACATGTATATAGGTGTGGTATGTCTTTTCAATATGTGTTTTCTTTCCTGACTGAAAGTTTCTGAATCTTTATTTTGAATATCTTTTGTTATTGTTATTGTTGTTAAAGTGTATTTAATGTAGAATCAAAATTTTATTACTTTAATTATTTTACATTTGACAATCCGGAAGACACGTTGGAGAAAAATTCTGTAGGGAAGAAGTACTTTACTGTTACAGTACCAAAAAGTATTTCTGAACGCATTCTCTTGCTGCAAAATGATGCACGAAGCAACAATAATTATATCTTGGTTTGACATTTTCTTCTTAAAAAATATGTCATGTTAACAATGGTATACACCAATGTCACAAATGGTACACCAATGGTGCCATTGTTAACATTTTTTTTCCAACTGTACCCAAAATATTTTGAAATACAACGGTACAAATTGTTACCATTGGCCAACAGGTGATGGTACCAATGGAAATACTCTGAACACACCCAATATTTTCTCAAATTTTCTGTATAGTATCACGAATTATATATTGCAATAGCATTTCAAGCGAAAATTTAATTAAAACTTATTTTATCTGGAAATTATTGGAACTACGAATTCCGGGACGCGTTTGATTAACACCTCCTTAAAATTGCAATTTCACAAATTTTAAATTAATTTCCTATCCTAAATATATTTTAAAAAGAAGCGATTTTGTTGTGTGTTAATGAAAAATATCACATTTATAATTCAGAAAATTCAGAGTAGAAATATTCGAAAGATAACCCCCTCGATAGTATCGTCAGCTCGTGCTCAGTGTTGTGTACAGAGTTTAAAAATTGAATACATAATTCTCGTCAAATATTTCGTCAAATTCAGGTTTTTTTTCCTTCAGGCTTCAAGAAATTTTTGGCCAAGGGTTCTAAACCCCAATTTCTTCGATTGTACAAATATTGCATCCCTCGAAACGTAATATCAGGGACCTAAAATATATATACTAGGTTAGTATATAAGTCCCTGGTTTCTCACTTGAGCAACTGTTACATTTGTTGTAACGAGCATAAAATTCAAGTCAGATGATACTCCTTAAACTAAACTAAGATCTCTATATTTATTTGTGCTTTTCCAGGGATTATAACTAAGGCTTATATAGTATAGGTGTGACGGTGGATACATGTTGGAGAAACCTTAATCTCCTCCTGGCACCTAATCCCACCTCTGGACTTTCCAGAAACACGTGTTTATCTGCCCTGTATACAGATTTGTATTGTTTGTAGGTTTTTTAAGATCGATCTATGTATTATTTTTAACTTTTACAATAAAAAAAATATACTCTCTTTACGAGATGATGTCAATTTCAGACAGTAGAATACTTTAATAGTACATGTATATTTAGAGCTGTTAAGTACTTTGGAAAATAGATGTTTAGGAAATACAGTGTGATGATTGTTAATGTGTATATTCCCAGAGATTATTACATGATTTAGTTCTCACTCATTTTTCAAACAAAACAAACGTAACTTCGATATATATTGTATAAAATGTATTTCTTGTTCACTGACAGTGTCAAAAGATAATTTAACAAAAATTTTAACAAAGATTTTAAATCTGTAGTAAGTCACAAACTATAATATCAAACACAAACGTAATTACGGATGATGGCAATTACAAACATGGTTGTCACATGTGGGAATTTGATGATGTAGACAAGTGCAATCATTGGCATGTGTGCACTCCACGGCGCGACGTGGGTGATGGCAGTGGCATTGGTGATTGTCACATGTGGCAATCTGACCATTACCGCATGTACAGTCATTAGCATGGACGCATTCGTTCACTGCACGCCTTGGGTGATGGCAATGGCACTGATGATTGTCACATGTGGCAATCTGACCATTACCGCATGTGCAGTCATTAGCATGGACGCATTCGTTCACTGCACGCCGTGGGTGATGACAATGGCACTGGTGATTGTCACATGTAGCAATTTGGTTACCACCGCATGTGCAGTCAGACGCATGGTGGCATTCAATCACTGCACGCCTTGGGTGATGGCAGTGGCACTGGTGATTGTCACATGTGGCAATTTGGTTACCACCGCATGTGCAGTCAGACGCATGGTGGCATTCAATCACTGCACGCCTTGGGTGATGGCAGTGGCACTGATGATTGTCACATGTGGCAATCTGACCATTACCGCATGTACAGTCATTAGCATGGACGCATTCGTTCACTGCACGCCGTGGGTGATGACAATGGCACTGGTGATTGTCACATGTAGTAATTTGGTTACCACCGCATGTGCAGTCAGACGCATGGTGGCATTCAATCACTGCACGCCTTGGGTGATGGCAGTGGCACTGGTGATTGTCACATGTGGCGATTTGGTTACCACCGCATGTGCAGTCTGACGCATGGACGCATTCGTTCACTGCTCGGCGTGGGTGGTGGCAATGACACAGGTGATTGTCACATGTGGCGATTTGGTTACCACCGCATGTACAATCAGATGCATGAACGCATTCGTTCATGTTGTGGCAGTGGCATGTATTTTGTTCGCAGTGTCCAATCATATTTGTACCGCATATTTTATTACAGTCGGAGTCTGTCGAACACGCTGTGTTTTGTTGGCCAATCACCAATGATACTGAAGAAAAAAAGGACAAAATGAGAAAAGGGGTTGTTACTTAATATAATTACGCTTATAAGTCATGAATAAATCAAGCTTATATTTATTGAAGTTATACATGTATACGCTTTGTAATGAAAAAAATTAGTTATTTTTTGTTGCACATATTTATGCTTATCTATTTTTTCCGAAAGGAACGGATGTATAGGGTTAACGCTTTTTGAGACTATCTGTTAGATGTACTTGAGAAAACGCACTTGGCCAAAGAAAATACCCGTGATGTAAGCGAAAAACATGAACAATGTAATTTTGATGTTTTGAAAATTGATTTTCTATAGTAGTTCAGAAATAATGTGTATGTTTAGGCATACACCTTTTGGTAAATACTAATTTCAATCCATATATGATTCGCAAAATGAGGAAAACACTTATTAGGGTGCCAAACTTACCTAAAGCCAAAGAGACTAACGACGTCAAAGCGGCCCTCATCGTGCTTTATGTTTCTGATTCCTTCTAAAGACTATTAATCTTCTGTCTGTCCTCTCTCTCATTTTATATATGTAGTCAGGGATATAATTATCCTTCATCATGAAAGCCCGAGGACAAGGTGATAAGGACAGAGGGAATCGTGAATTTCTATATAAAATGAAGGTAATGCCATCGTCCTTGCAAGATATGTGCAAGATTACGAGATATTTGGTCCGGATTGGTAGTATTAATTTGTGTCAGAGAACAGTATATGAACGATTTTTATATACCTGCTTTCTGTTGTAAAATGTAGATAATCTAATTTATTTCTTAAAATCAGTTTATACAGATAAGAAATCTTGGAACATTATTAAAAAAAATCAGCTTCATATAAATTTTGTTTTCTGATCTCGATTATGTTTAATTCTAATATCAGTCTAAGATTGATTTTAAAAAAAATAAAATCATAGATATTCAGTATATCTATGCCTGTTTTAATAAATTGTCTTTATGTAAATCATTTAAACAATGAAATATTTGGAGATGACGAACAGTATTCAAACTCAAAACTCAATTTAAAAATACAAATCAGTAGAAGAGCAAACACAGTCCTCTAAAACATCAGAGGTAGGATCAGGTGCCATGGAGGAGTGAGCATCCCCTGTCGACCACTCACACCTGCCGTGTGCTCCTTGTCATGATTGGGAAATAATGGAAAAAATCCGTCGACAATTCAGTGTGTAGATAAAGGCATTACAACTAGTACAAGTAAAATTGATGCAAAGCATCAAATCGGCCGCAAACAAAATTTAGCATTTCAAAAAGTACTTTCACAATTATATAAAAGCATCCAAGCAAGGAAAGCACTTGTCAAGATATTCAAAGCTATACTAGCACCAGCAATTGATCATTTTTATTTCAGACTGTCTTCAAAGCAAAATAAATAAATAAATATTTTTTTTAAAAAGTCAATGAAAATTTTATTGCATTTGCTCATCAATTGGATTCATCGATGTTTTAAAGTCAATGATTGATGATAAGAAATTATTGTCATCAAAATGAAGATGAACAACGTGCTGATACCCTGTGGATCTTTTGTCACGTGATAATGCCTATGGTTTCTGCAAAGTAGGCTATGGTGCATGGTGCGGTGCAAAATGTAAAAAAAAAATAATTATCCTTATGTCATTTGCAGCTGTAGCATATTCAAAACAATTTTTACTTGTTGAACAATTTTCAATTTTCAATTTTTATTTACCATGCAATTTTATCACGTCGTTCTTATCCGGAAAATCAGAACGATTTCCTTTCGTATCTTACACACTCCCAGGATGGGGAGTACCTATTGTAAACTCTTTTTATTTAACCATAAATCATCAATTATCTGAAGCAAAATGAAAATGTAATTGAAACATAATAATAAAAACTTTATTTAAAGCAAGTTTTTAAAATATTTTACTCATGATTTTATACATGTTATCATTTAAGAATTATTTTACTGAACTAAAAAGATAACATCTCATTTACCCATGTGCACTTTCTAACACAACTACAAATAGATCGGCCGCTGCTGCGGCCGATAACGAAAAATTTCACTGACCATTTGACTAAAGTTTTTAAAAGCATTTTAAACTCACTGGTTTTTTTTTCTTTTCTGCAGCTTGAGTGATCTGCCTTTATAATTTATATCTATAAATTCCAATGAATAGAAATTTACAGTTTATTACTCAATTTGTACTCAAATCAAGTACTTTTAACATTTTAAAAGCCTAAGATGAATTAATTAAGCATGTTTTTTGTATGTATTGTACCATGGAAGTAAAATACAGTTATTGGTTTTCACTGATACTGTGTCGTGTTTGAACATTTTTCCTGAGGGTAAATGCCACGTATATGGCACGCCAAATTCACAAACATGAGATAATCATAGTTTCACAATTGATAAACTAGGTTTATCGACTGTAAACTATAGTTTACAAACCGTAAACTATAGTTAACGATTATTAAGTATAGTTTTCATCTGTAAAACTATATTTAACGGTTGTTAACTATAGTTTACGAATGTTAATTTAAGTTTATCTGTCTGTAATAAAGCGTTAACAATAGATTTTGTTGATAAACATAGATTCACGTTTGTAAACTACAGTTTACAATCGTAAACTATACTTAAGAGTTGTTAATCATAGTTTCACAAATTGTGAAACTATATTTATCAGATCGTTAACTATAGTTAACGGTTTGTAAACTACAGTTTACAAATCGTGAAACTGTATTTATCAGATAATCTATGTTTTGCAATCGCAAATGATTGTTTTCGGTGTTAAGTATAGTTTACGGTTGTGAAACATAGATTATCGCGTTAACTATGGTTTACAGATGTGAAATATAGATTAACGTTGTTAACTATAAATTACGGTTTGTAAACTATAGTTTACAATCGATAAACCTAGTTTATCGATTGTGAAACTATGATTATCTCATTTTTGTGAATTTGGCGTGCCATACACGTACCATATATTGAATTAATAAGCTTAATATTTAAACTACTTAATTCAATATGATTTTCTCAGTGGTTAAAAAATATTTTTCGCTGAGCATAAGAGAGGGTTCAATTTAACAATAGATTGTATTTGCTAACAACTAAACAAGGTCGTTATATCAACTATGGAACTTGATGACTTTAAACGAGACTCTTGATTTTCTTGTTTCATCAACTTGTTTGTCAATATCCTACCTCATTTTAGAAATTGTTTATACGTAGAGCATGCTCTTGCGTATCGAATTAACAGAGAGATATAGAATAGAATAGAATTTTTTCCAATCATGGTCCCACTGGGGGCATAACACAGATACATGTGTATTATTACATAAAATAGAGACAATGTACATAATAAAACATTAAACCAATTTACCCATGGCGGTGTGCAAATATTGTAAATACAATATAGTAATATTCAAAAATTCATATACAATATTTTGATATGAATTGACTTAATAATCTTAAGATTTACTCATTTTCATGTGTAAAAAGTCATATTAACTTTTCATTAATGAACATAATAAAAAGAGTAAACCAATATTAAAATGGTGATGTGCAAATATTGTATATATATCAAAAGATGAAGATCTATTAATGGTTGCCAGTCTACAAAAGACATCAAGGGACGGTGCTTCAGGAATGCACAAATTCTAGTCTAATATCTAAAATGAATAAAAGGTTGCATTCCTCCTCATGTCTAATGTAGATAGGCAAAAATAGCTCAATTATAATTTACAAAAAGTAAGAATGTAGTAATGTTCAAACATCATATACAATATTTTGATATGAATTGACTTAGTTATCTTAAGATTGACACATTCACTTTTAAAAAGCCATATTAGCTTCTCATTAATGAACATAATAAAAAGAGTAAACCAATATTAAAATGGTGATGTGCAAATATTGTATATATATCAAAAGATGAAGGTCTATTAATGGTTGCCAGTCTACAAAAGACATCAAGGGACGGTGCTTCAGGAATGCACAAATTCTAGTCTAATATCTAAAATGAATAAAAGGTTGCATTCCTCCTCATGTCTAATGTAGATAGGCAAAAATAGCTCAATTATAATTTACAAAAAGTAAGAATGTAGTAATGTTCAAACATCATATACAACATTTTGATATGAATTGATTTTTTAGTTATCTTAAGATTGACACATTCACTTTTAAAAAGCCATATTAGCTTCTCATTAATGAACATAATAAAAAGAGTAAACCAATATTAAAATGGTGATGTGCAAATATTGTATATATATCAAAAGATGAAGGTCTATTAATGGTTGCCAGTCTACAAAAGACATCAAGGGAAGTGCTTCAGGAATGCACAAATTCTAGTCTAATATCTAAAATGAATAAAAGGTTGCATTCCTCCTCATGTCTAATGTAGATAGGCAAAAATAGCTCAATTATAATTTATAAAAAGTAACAATGTAGTAATGATCAAACATCATATACATACAATATTTTGATATGAATTGACTTAGTTTTCTTAAGACTGATTCATTTCCACTTGTAAAAAGTCATATTAGCTCCTCATTAATGAGCATAATAAAAAGATGAAACCAATTTCACCATGGTGGTGTGCAAATATTGTAAATATATTATAAGATGAAGGTCTGTTAATGGTTGCCAGTCTACAAAAGACATCAAGGGATGGTGCGTCAGGAAATGCATGAATTCTAGTCAAATATCTAAAATGAATAAAAGGTTGCATTCCTCCTCATGTCTAATGTAGATAGGCAAAAATAGCACAATTATAATTTACAAAAAGCAACAATATAGTAATGTTCAAATATCACATACAATATTTTGATATGAATTAACTTAGTAATCTTAAGATTGACTCATTTTCATTTGTAAAAAGCCATATTAGCTTCTCATTAAAATCAAGATTAGGGAAATTGGTACATATGTCTGAGATAGATTTTAAGAAAGTTTCTCGTTCATCTTTGAATTTAGTGTATTTATAGAGAAATTCAGTATGCAGGTGATGAAGGTAGATGGCTGCATAAGTAAGGGAAGTTGACGATTGAAAGTTAAGCCATCATGTTTATCATACAGCTTTTTTGTTATATTACCCTTTAAGAACGTCTTTTCTAGTAAAGTATTCAAATATGAAACAGATTTGTCAGACTCTGTGGCATCTTTTATTTCAAGCTCATAATATGGAAAAACTTCTACATAAACAAATGCATGGGCGCAGACATTTTGGATACCCAAAGCTGTGCGGATGAGAAAATGCTACCTGGTGCGTGATTGGTCAGTAAGAGAAAAGACGGTATGTATTTGACAAGTGAAATAAAGTAACTGTTGCTAAAAATGTCATATCAAGACTTGAGCTTCTTTGAGATATATAGGAGTTACAGGTAAAAATTTGAAGGGAGGGATCGATGTACTTTGGTTAGAGATTTTCATTTGGTGGTGAACGCACCTAGTTGTAAACAGATGGAATGCAACGGCACGGTATATTTTTTCTGGCATGTTTTGTTTTCCAATTTCTCGAACTATCACGGCAAAAAGGTCATTTGCCCAAAATTCAATATATGTATCAGTGACAGGGGCTCAAGTTTGTATGGAAGTCTATGGGAAATT